TTCTATTAACCAATTAGTGTGTCTAGCCCATTAATAAATCGCACATAACTATTACAGCTGCTGCAGCTGCCTGATGATAATGATTGATGACAATGATGCAAAGTACAAACACAAAGAACAGTAGCTGAATCTCCTGCTGACAGTCTCTAAAGGACCAAATGACTTCTTATAGGGTGAGTCTAACCACTATTTTAACAGTACAGCATGACCGTGGCACTCCTGAAGTCTACAAAGATCACAGCAGTTTCTGTGGCAATCATCACGCAACCCTACACCTCCTGTGCAACACTGTGGCTATTAATGCAATCTGGTAAAATTAGTAAATTGTAAACTCTATTTGCCAGTAAAGTCAGGGATCAGATAACTTTTGCTCCACCCAAGAGAAAGCCTTCCTGTGACAATGCAAATCTTGTTCTATATTAAAATGGCCCTCACTTTTACAGTAAGGAATTGCCCAAGCATTGGAGTCCCTCATCAACAGTTACAACCCAAATGTATGATCTTTAACTGATATTAAACCATTCTCCAACATTCCAACATGCCCTTAATTGCCAGTCACACAAATAGACTATGATTTGATTTTGAGAGCCCCCCCAAATCCTGAAAATGTCAAAAATTCTGAAAATGACATAGCCTTCCCTGAAAAATCTCTAAATCTACATCAGATTGCTTATGTATAAATCCATCTAGAGATCAACAGTCTTCTGTTTTCTCTAGCCCTGACATTCTAACATTCTAGGAGTAGAGATTGATCCAAGAATAAATTTTTAAACTTATTTTTTAGCGTTGTCAAAGCAGACACTATTTAGAAGTCCTTGTCAAAGTAGAGACAGCAGAAGCATCAGTCTGTCATGCCCTGGAAACTTCCAAACATCAACCAAACAGCCCAAAAGAATGTACTACTCAACAGTTCCAAGGATGTCATTAATTGCTTCCATCTGTTTCCCTCTCTGTCTCTTCCCCAACCTAGTAAAGTTATTTTTTGCTTCATTTTGCATTCTAAAGAAAAGCATAAAGAGCCCTCATGTTTTAAACTGCGGAATACTTATTCGTCCCCCAAATTTGTTTGATAATAACAGCCATATTGTTTTTGTACTCCAGGCTATTTTCAGGTAACATTTCAGAGTGTGGCATATTAAGTCGTGTACTTTTTAAACACTGCTCAGTAAATATTTCAGTTGGTCATAACACAATGTTTTTCCCTGACTCCTCAAGGCGACCAGGGTTCTCCCTGAATGGCATGATAAAGGTTAAAACCTCTGAATGGTTTCATATCCATTAATGATCCTTACCTAAATCAGTGGTTTCATTAAACATTGCATAATCATGACTTTCTAATTCTGTCATTTATTCCACTTTTATTGGTTAGAATTTCCCCCATCAACTAGAGCTATTAGGTTACTGTGAAATAAAGTATGCCCAAGAGAGAAAGGATAGTTACAATTTTTTTTTTCTTATGATGAGAACTTTTAAGATCTACTCTCAGCAGGGCTTCCCTGGTGGCACAGTGGTTGAGAGTCCGCCTGCCGATGCAGGGGACGCAGGTTCGTGCCCTGGTCCGGGAAGATCCCACATGCCTCAGAGCGGCTAGGCCTGTGAGCCATGGCCACTGACCCTGCGCATCCGGAGCCTGTGCTCCGCAACGGGAGAGGCCACAGCAGTGAGAGGCCCGCGTACTGCAAAAAAGATCTACTCTCAGCAACTTTCAAATATATAATACAGTATTATTAACTATATTCACCATGCTGTACATTATATCTTCATGACTTATTTATAACTGCAAATTTATACTTTTTGACTCCCTTCCCCATCTTGCACACCCCCCCACCTCCCCACCTCTGGCAACCACCCACCTGTTCTCTGTACTTATGAATTCATTTTTTTAAATATTCTACATATAAATCATATAGTATTTGTCTTTCTCTGACTTATTTCACTTAGCATAATGCCCTCAGGGTCCATCCATGTTGTTACAAACAGCAGGATTTCCTTCTTTCCTATGGCTGAATAATATATTATATATATATCACACCTTTATCAATTCACCCATTGATGGACACTTAGGTTGTATCCATATCTTGACTATTGTAAATAATGCTGCAATCAACATGGGGTGCAGATATTTTTTTCAAGATAAGTGATTTTATTTCCTTAAGATAAATACCCAGGGATTTCCCTCATGGTGCAGTGGTTAAGAATCCACCTGCCAATGCAGGGGACACAGGTTTCAGCCCTGGTTCAGGAGGATCCCACACGCCGCAGAGCAACTAAGCCTGTGCACCACAACCACTGAGCCTGCACTCTAGAGCCCGCAAGCCACAACTATGGAGCCCAAGGGCCACAAATACTGAAGCCCCCGCACCTAGAGCCCATGCTCCGCAACAAGAGAAGCCACTGCAATAAGCCCACGCACCGCAACAAAGAGTAGCCCCCGCTTGCTGCACCTAGAGAAAACCCACGCACAGCAACAAAGACCCAACACAGCCAAAAATAAAAATAAATAAATAAAATTTAAAAATTAAAATAAATAAATACCCAGAAGTGGAATTGCTGGATCATGTGATATATCTATTTTTAATTTTTTGAGGAACCTCTGGAAAGATAGGACAAATGCCTCTTTTCTTTAAACTTCCCATTACCAGAGTAAGGGGCTGGTGTCCTAGTTACCACCAAGGGTGATCAATGAGGTTTTGTTTTGTTTTAAAGTTACCCACTTTTCTGAAAATATCATCACAACTAGGGTACTCCTTAATTTTTCTAAGTCCCCAAGGAAGCCTGTGAGAGAGCATATAGCATATTTCAAAGGTATATTTCTGGGAATAAGCAGAAATGAGTTTCCTGAAGAAATTCATTTACCAGTCAAATGATATTCATAGGCTTGAATGTGAAGGGTTAAAAGGAACTTTTTATAGGGTCATCAAGTCCAACTTCCCTGATATTTTTTTTTTAACATCTTTATTGGAGTATAATTGCTTTACAATGGTGTGTTAGTTTCTGCTTTATACCAAAGTGAATCAGCTATACATATACATACTTCCCTGATATTGAATCTCCCTATACACTATCTCCCCATGCTCTGTACCTTCCAGGGGGTGAGGGGCAAATGGGTACAAGCTAGAGCTGTGTTTTTAATGTACAGTAAATGCAAGTTTAATTACACTATGTTTAACTGACAGCATAGGACTCTTAATATTACCATGCTGATGAAATGGCACATAAATAAAGTAGGCTCATACTGGTTAGAGCTGGAAGAAACCCAGGATGCCACCAAGTCCAAAGAGGGCAAGTTTAAAAAGAGACTCCCACAAAACAGACTCTGCAAAAAACAGATGCTTCTGGTACCTTACTTCCTGACACATGAACATTTTGCAGAATTAACAGAAACAGTTCTGTAGAAGCACCCACTAAAGTAAGTTAGAAATAAGAAGATACCAATATGGGTGAAATTCTCATCTGTTCAATGAAAATAATAGACCATAAGGAGGATAAAAATAAAGGAACACTTTTTGCTTTATTTTAAATTGTGATATATAACATACATACAGAAAATTGCACAAAACATATATATAATATAATGAGTGATTATAAAACAACCACTCATGTAACTGAACAGTTAAATCAAGAAATAGAACATTATTACCACTTTAGAAGCCCCTGCATGCCTCTCCCTGAGTAGAGCCCTCTTCCTTCCTCCCGGAGTACCACTATGCAGACTTCTGTGTTCATTATTTCCTTATTCGTCTTTATCTTTTTACCTTATAAATAGGCATCCCTAAACAACAGTTTATTTGTTTTTGAACTTTAAATAAATGGAACCTACCTACATATCTATATCTCTATCATTCACTTCCCTTAATTATTTTTCAGATTCATTCATTCTTTTTTAATTCATAAAATTAACCATTTTAAAATGAAATATTCTCATTCCTTTTTATTACTGATTAATATTCCAATTGATGACTATACCATGATCATTTTTATCCATTCTACTGTAGATAGACCAGTGGTATCATCATGAACAATGTTGATATCAGTATTTTTGTATATGGATCCTAGTGTACATGGGCATAAGTTTCTTTAGGGAACATACCGGGAGGCAGAGAAATTGCCTATTTTCCACTTTACTAATGCCCAACTCTTTCCCAACGTGGCTGCACCAATTTACATTCCCAGCAGCAGTGTCCCAATTGCTCCACATCCACACCAACAACTGATATTATCAGACTTCTTAATTTAGGAGCTTATAATAGAACAATTTGCAGTTCTCTGATGACTACTGAGATAGAGCACCTTCTCACAGGTTTGCTGGCCATTTGGATTTCCTTTTTTGAAGTGCCTATTCAAATTCTTTGCCCTTGTTTTTTAAAACTGAATAGACTTATCTCTTTCTTATTGATTTGTAGAGGTTTTACTTTTTTTTTTTTTGTCTTATGCATCAGGCTTTACTTTTACTTAGGACGTGACTGCCATAAAAAACAAAGTCATTAATCAAAGACAACATAATCAAGAACCTGAGAAGCTTTAACTAATCAAAAGTTAGTATCTCTGCTTACTTTACATAGGATAGGCCAAAATGTCCAGCAATTATTTGTAGGAGTATTAAGTGATATGTAAATATAACTTAAATTTAAAACGCTACTGAAATATGTGACAAAACACTTTTTTTTTTTAAGTTTGTATCCACTGTTATCTCCAAGCAAAGGTATTTAGTACACAATCCAGACTCATGCATGCTAAGGTCAGAATGTTTCTGAATCCTTTCCATTCTGAAAAACAAAATTCAGAAGTCACAGTTTGATTAAAAATTATGTCAAAAATGCCTAACACCAATGAATAAAATCAACAGTAGGAAATTTGACTGCTGAAAAATGAAAAATTAAAATTTCAACTGTAAACAGAGCTTTATATTTAAAAAAAAAAAAATTGCTCCTACAGTATTTTTCCTTTCCTAACAAGAGGATTATTCTGCTTAGCAATAGAAGAATGTTTTAATTACTTACTTAATAAATGCTGGTGGCATATCTCTCTTCAAAATCTGATCCTCAGTGGTTTGAACAGTCTCTTTTCCAACCTACAGGGAAAAACGATTCACAATTCAAATTTAAATTCTCAGACTTTTAAAACTATTATTTAAACATATTTGAAACACATACATTACACATTATCATTGAAAATGATAGATTTGAAGAAAATTTCTGGATTTTTTGAAATTATCAAGATTGCTCCCACATATGTTTCCATAATACACTTGGATAACAATATAGAGTGCAAACATAATGTATTAACCCTGTTCCAGAGTAATTAATTTGAAGGCATCATTGAGCACAGTGAGAAAAAAAAAATTCATCATTGAGAATATATATGTTTGTGTGTATTTATGTTTAATGACAAACTGCTACATCTCTGAAAGAGTACATGGAGTACATTAAGTACATGAATCCAGTTAGGTAAGCTAAAAATGTCTATTCAGAAAAAAACTAACATTACTGGAACTGGAAAAATATGTGAAACAATAACTCTGAAACTAGAAACCAAACATATGAAAGTACACAACTTAACTAGTAATCAACATGATGTTTTCCCTAATCATAGAGCATCTTAAAAAGAAATAATATATAATGCTAAATGTTGCAATGGAATAGTTTTACACCCTGCTGGTAGCAATGTAAACTGGTATATTCTCTTTGGAAAATCATTTGCTAGTATGTGTTAACAGACAAAAACGTCCTATCTAGGAATTCCACTTATGAGAATACACCCTATAAGCAATAATACCAAGTGTGGTAATCACAATATTTACAAAAATATTCACTATCATGTTAGTTAAAAAAGCAAAAACATTTTCAAAATAACTTACCAACAATGAGGAACAGTTAAGTAAATTAAGATATATCTTTAGACTTAGTACTACAGGGCCATTAAAACAATGGTTATAAAGACTCAGCACTATGGGAAAATGTTTATGACATTATACTTCGTTTAAAAGGAGAAATAAAAAATAATAAATACACTATGATTACAACAAACCCAAAACTCATTATGTACAAGGCAAAATACTGAAAGAATATAAAACAAAATGTGTTTATTAATGCTTGCAAAATTTTGAGTGAATTTGTATCTGTATTTCCTGTTTTCTAATTTTCTGAAATGTGTATATATAATTTTTGTAATTTAAAATGTAACATTAAAATGTTACTCTTGGTTACTTAAGTGTAATTATTTCCTACCTAAAAATTTTATTAATTATCTATCATTTTATATAAATCTTCCCCAAAAGTAATGGCAAAAAATTTTAAAAACATATCAAAATACTGCCACACTAACCGGATTGTGTGCATGTGCACATGTATTTATTATACCACAAATGGTATACATACTCACTTTCTTTAAAATCATTCCTATGTAGGGCTTGGATGTCAATTTTTCTTTAACTATATCATATATTACAAAGCACTCTAAAAGAAGCAAACCTTAATATAAGGAATAGTGAAATTCACCCTTTTATCAATATAAAGCTATTTAGGAATATTAAATCATAAATATAAACCACATTTTAATGCAGAAATCTGTGAAATTTTTAAAACCCAGAATGGAAAGTATCGCAATCCTATTATTTAACCGTTTAACTTTTATTGAGTTTAAAGAAGAAAAACGAGTTTAAAAAATTCCTAAATGCACAGTAAAGCAGCTTAAGCAAATAACACAATAAACTATTCTCAGGGAATACCAGTCAGGCATGAGTTAATAAATACAAGTTTTTTCTCTCAAGTTAATAGCTCAGAAAAAAGCAAGACACATATACCACTGTGTAATAGCCAGTGCTTTTGTAGACAATGGACTGTCTGTATCATAATAAAACCCTTTCAAATCAGCAGCTGGTTCTCTAGAGTTTCTCAGATCAAATCATGACAGAATATTTCCAGATGTATTGTTCACCATAGTTTCTAACAAAAATCAGCCATTCAAAAAGCTGTGGGCCATGACTTCATGAAGGAAAAGATGAAGTGCAGCAACAGTCACTCGTTCATACTAAGCATAAAGGGTCTACAAGGATATTCACACTTAGAGCAACGGCAATTCCTTTTATTTTACACACCACGTGTACATATACAGAGAGAGCCAAAGAGAGACAGGGGTAGAGAGAAAGAGAGAGAGAGTGTGCAAGCCAGGCGAGTGGGGAAGAGTTCCCCTTATATCTCCTTTAGAAAGTATTCAGTTATTCAGTGTTATTAAACATTTATTGAATGCAACTACATGTGCCAGTCACTGTTCCAGGTACTTTAGACAGAACGGGAGTAAAAATAAGTTTCCTTCCCTCATGGAAGTTATATTCCAGTGGGAGTAGACAGAGAGAGAGCACACAAGTAAATAAACAAAATCATTCCAGGTAATAGTAAAGATGATGCTATAAAGAGTATGGGGTAGGAGTAGAGGGGGCCTACTTTAAAAAGTGTGGACAGGGCTTCTTCCCTGGTGGCGCAATGGTTAAGAATCCACTTGTCAGTGCAGGGGACACGGGTTTCAGCCCTGGTCCGGGAAGATCCCACATGCCGTGGAGCAACTAAGCCCGTGCGCCACAACTACTGAGCCTGCGCTCTAGAGCCCATGAGCCACAACTACTGAGCCCATGTGCCACAACTACTGAAGCCCGTACGCCTAGAGCCCATGCTCCGCAACAAGAGAAGCCACCACAATGAGAAGCCCACCCACTGCAACAAAGAGTAGCCCCCGCTCGCCACAACTAGAAAAAGCCTGTTGCACAGCAACGAAGACGCAATGTAGCCAAAGATAAAAATAAATTAAATAATTTTTTAAAAAACTCAATAGTGATAAAACAAACAATCCAATTAAAAAAAAAAAAAAAAAAACAGTGGACAAAGAAGTAACATTGGAGCTGAGATTCTGAAGCTGAAAAGGAACTACTCATGCAAGAGCTGGGAAAGAACAATCAAGAGGGAGAAGCAAGAAAAAGGCCCAAAGGCAGGAAAGTTTGGGTGTACTAAAAGAGCCTTAAGGAGGCCAGAGTGGCTGAAGCTCAGTGAGGGGGGTAGGTGTGGTGATGAGGTTGGGTAAGAAGGCAATGGTCGTATCACAAAAGAGCCTTTTAGGCCAAGTTAAGGTGTTCGGAATCTTTCCTAAGTACAACAGGAAGCAGGAGTGCTAAACAAGAGACTGACATGATGTTTTTTTTTTTAAAGGACATTTTGCCTGTTAAAAGGAGAAGTGATCTTAGCAAGCAAGGAGAAGCAGAGTGACCAGTTAGGAAGCTACTGTAGTTGTCCAGGGCAATGATGGTAGTGACTTAAAATAAGACACAAAAGTGGACATGGAGAATTAGTTCTTTTGGAGGAAGAGCTAATGGGACTTGCTCTTGAAATGGGTGAAGTAGGGGTTGGGGAGTGGACTGACAGAAAGAAAAATTTAAAATAACACGTAGGTCAATTAAGTAAAATGTCTTCAAAAGCAGCAATGCTAAAAGGCTGATGTATAGCAAAGATTTAACATGAAAGGATAAAACAATCATGAGTAAACCAGGCAAAACCACTGAAACAGTTTTTCAATAGCAACTATTCTGACCCCAGTAGAGGTAATTACTAAAGAATGAATTCTATTTAACTATTTTAGGTCTCTTTGGTAAAGGTAGGGGGTTGGTGAGGAAACAGAAATAGACAATAAAAACATACTCAAGGGCTACTTTTTTTTTTTTTTTTTTCGGTACGCGGGCCTCTCACTGTTGTGGCCTCTCCCGTTGCAGAGCACAGCCTCCAGATGCGCAGGCTCAGCGGCCATGGCTCATGGGCCCAGCTGCTCCGCGGCATGTGGGATCTTCCCGGACCGGGGCACGAACCCGTGTCCCCTGCATCGGCAGGCGGACTCTCAACCACTGCGCCACCAGGGAAGCCCAAGGGCTACTTATTTTAAAACTATTTTTAAGTATTTAAGTGATGTGAACTAAATCTGATTTATTATTCTAAGCTGCATTCATAACTGCAGTGATAGTATCCACAGTCACTTTGATCTTCAATACACTCAGCCTATAATTAGGTTACACACAATGAATGGTCCTGTTTTTAAGGCATAACACATAAAACGTGACTATGTAGAATGAATGCCATTTTTACTCGGAGAATTGATTTTGGGCAATGCTGTCCAACAGAACTTTCTGTTACGATGGAAATGTTCTATTTAATTTGTGCTATCCAGTGCCGGGAGCCGTATAGGAAGTACCTTTAAGTTTTAGCACGGTCGAGGCCCATAGTGCCAAGCAAAGCTGGCACTGTCAGGT